CCAAACCAAACTCAAGGTTACCAACAATCTCCGTTTTGCCAAGTGCAGGAATCAGCTCCCTGTCCTCATCTTACTAGACTTGTCAACAGATAGTTGACAAGCCACTTTCTTGAAATGCTTTTCTTCTAAGATCATGTTACTCTTCTACTTAAAATTTTCCAATGGTTCTGGTTTCAATTATGATAAAATCCCAACTCCTTACACCATTCCGTGTAAGCTGACTCCTGTCTCCCTCTCAGATTTGCCTCTTCTATCTCTCTCCACCTAGTCACTCTGACCTTTCTTCTAACTCACCAAGTTTGCTCCCTTCACAGACTTGGCCCTTGCTTTTCTTTCTCTTTTATATTCTTCCTTTTTGGATCGTCCCAAAACATTCTGCTCTTGACTCAAATGTGTCTAACATAAGAAGGATTAACATGACATTGAACTGTGGTCTGTTCTACTTTTTTATGTTGATTGTCACTGCTATTGCCAATTAAGCTTTCTCCTATTGTTCAACTCCAAAAGGCAACCATCTTACCATATTCATGGAATTTGGGGACAACCCTGCTGCTCTGCCTGTAAGATGTAACGCTAAAGGAGAAGCACTAAACAGTGGATTTGGTTTGTCCCTTTTCTCTATACGTCTCCACAGGTGCAAGATTACCACACGCTGGACTGAACATTAATCTTCAATACGAGATTTGAGAGCTGGTAAAATTATCAAATTGCTGTGCTGAAGATGTTGTAGATAGTAATTTTTCATGAAAACGGTATGAGTAGCTTGATCTCACAGGATATTTTATATTTGTTGTGTATTTTAAAAAGATTTTATTTATTTATTTGACAGAGAGAGCAAGAGAGCACAAGCAGGGGGAACAGTAGAGGGAGAGGGAGAAGCAGACTCCCCACCAAACAGGGAGCCCGATGCGGGGCTCGATTCCGGGACACTGGGATCATGACCTGAGCTGAAGGCAGACGCTTAACCATCTGAGCCACCCAGGCGCCCCATGTTGGGTATTTTATCCAACAAAAACAAAATGCATGATCTTATAGCATTACAGTTAGATAATGTGTATATCTTAGATATCTTAGATAATCTAAGATCTTAGACAAAGATATTCTGACTTTGCATTCAAGAGGAATTGACTTCGACCTCTTTGCATCCTACTCAAAGTCCCTTACTACTGAACAAGGAAATGCATAGGTAGACGTGCTCTACCCCTAAAAAATCCCCAAAGCAACAAAATTAAATTTTCCTCATCTATTCAGTCTCTAACTGCTAAGGTGGCTATCCATTTCAAACTGGTGATTGCAACCAGTTAGAAGACTATGAAATCAATTTTAAAGGTCAAAGCAGCATTTTAAAAAAATGAAATAGACTACAATAGAATTTAATTGGATTGAACGTATTAGGGCACCTCACTAATCCTTATTCAAGGCTAGAGTCCAGGAGACAGCTGATATGTGAGCAGATATCTCACTGGAATTCCTGGGTTAATTTGTTGGACAGATAACATTGTACAGTCTAATTTTATTTATCACAACTACCTGTGATTTATGAAATGATGTACAGGGGAATTTTATTTGCTGATAGGAAATCCAGACTTTTCAATTGAGTTCCAATGAAGAACTTAAAGTATGTTTTTGGGGAAAGGTGTGTCATCACAGATGGTGTATGTGTGCGCTATACATGTATGTGTGTGTGTGTGTACCATTTTTTAATCAAATCAGTGTAAATTGTTCTCAAAGAAGTTGCTTATTAGAAGGAAAAGAATAAAGTTAAAAATACAGGAGCTGTGTTCAGTTGTAGCTGCTAGATTTGGAAGTGCAGTGAAAAGACTGGGAAAAAAAATGTTCCTCTAATAATCAGAAAACAGACTTTACATTTCATTCAAAGAAGAAAAAGATAATGCATTTCTGGCAAAGGAAAGATTAATATCTTCAAAATTAAAGGACATTTGAAAATATAGCATATAAATCCTTAAAATATGTTCTTAAGGAAAAGGGCATAAAGTTATTGGCACAATTTCTCAGTTGCTTCACAAACATTAATGAGAAAGACAATCTTTGTGTTTAGTTGTGGCAGAAGAGAAATGGTTCATACTAGGTGCTAAGAAACTGCTTCCTCCAAGGGGCGCCTAGGTGGCTCAGTTGGTTGGGCGACTGCCTTCAGCTCAGGTCATGATCCTGGAGTCCCGGGATCGAGTCCCGCATTCAGGCTCCCTGCTCAGCGGGGGGTCTGCTTCTCCCCTGACCCTCCTCCCTCTCATGTGCTCTGTCTCAAACAAATAAATAAAATCTTTAAAAAAAAAAAAAAAAGAAACTGCTTCCTCCAATATGTCGATGCATATGTTTTTGGCGGCAAAGAGGCTGATAAATTCAAAGCTATGCTTCCTGGCAATAACATAATATCAACTCAATTACCACAGAACATTGAGAAGAATCAATGATTACCATGCAGGCATAGTCCAACTTGATGAGAGTACTAATACTGCGAGTTGTGTAATACTTTTATGCCAGATATGTGTAGCAAAACAATTTTATAGAGGCGTTATTGTCTGTATGGAGAAAAATATATTCACAATTAGAAAACAGCATTTAAGTCAATAAAAAAACCTTTTTACAGTTTATAATGGATAAAATGTTATCCATTATATTAATGGATAATAACATAATGTATTAAAAAACTTTATACAATTTAAAATAGAATTGCAAGTGATGGGACAACAAATATGATTGGGAAACTATAGAGATACAAAAAAATTATTGAAAACTACTAAAAACAGAAGATAATTTAAAATATTAAATGAAAATTATATGAGTCATTTGGTTTTCAAAACCTTAAATAATTGAATTAAAGTTGATGTTCTATGAAGAGAATACATTATTGTGGTTTAGTACCTCATTTACACAGAAAAAATGATTGCCATACATGAAATTTATCACTATGTTAGACTAAGATTAAAGAAATTATTGCTAAGAAGAAAGTGAATTCATGTTACTATTCACAATGCCTATGTATGTGAAGTAGGATTTTCAATTTGATCCATTTTAAAAATAAAGTTAAAGATCAGGCTCAATAGTAGACCAGATGTATATGCAGCATTGTCCTCATGCATTCTGAACTGGAATAAACCTATGAATAGGCAAAGACTTCCATGGTATTAAATAAAACCGTTACTAATTTGCTTTTGTACTATTTATATTAAGATTGGTTTCTACATTGTATTATAAAATACATTTACATTGTATTAAGTTTGTTGTTCTTCCTTTATTTCACACAATACATTTTGTGAAACTTGTATTTCAGACATGTATGTGTGTGTATACTGGGTTTCAGTGTAGAATCTATTTCTTGCTGAGTTGTGGTTCAAACGTCGGAAAAACAATGCCTTAGAAGTTAGAAGATAACTTTGGAAGAGTAACACACCTGCAGAATGATCTGACCCACAGACCACCAGTTTGCTGTCTGAGCTAAACTGTGGATGATATTGACTATGCATTCCATATGAAGTATAGAATTTACTTTGTAGGTAAGTTGCAGCTAGGACAAATAATGGTGTAATAAAAATGTGTTTTAGGGGCACCTGGGTGGCTCAGTCAGTTAAATGTCCAACTCTTGATTTCCACTCAGGTCATGATCTCAGGGCTGTGGGATCAAGCCCCCCCACCCCCAGTGCAGAGTCTGCTTCAGATTCTCTCTCTCCCTCCCAAATAAAATCTTAAAACAAAAACGTGTTTGAGAAGCATTAATATAGTCCCATTGCAAGACTGACAGGAAGAGACTGGGGACAGAAAGGTCACTTAAGTGCTACTAAAATAATCTAGAAATGAGACCACTAGTGCAGAATCAGAATGGGAGCAACTGCAAAGATAATGGAGATAAAACAGAGCGCCAAGGAAAAATGATAGCAATTTAGAGCTGGGAGGGACCTTTGGAGACATCCATTCCATCTCTATCTTCATACAATTAGTAAAAGTAACAGTTAAAAAATTGGGAATTTGTCTATGACCTCATACTGACTCAAATAGTCATCAATGGGTGTTAACACTGTTTATCCGGTTACTGAAATTAGCAGCAGAAGGTATGAATTCTCTTCAGGATTCAGAGAGCGGGCCCTCAAATTTGCGTTCCATTTAATGGATTAAAATGGGCAATAAACTCATCCTTTTAAATCTGAATTCCAATTAATCACAGGTGTGCCTACAAGGCATTCCCAGTCAAGGTTCCACTCCATCCCGAAATGGGTCAGTTAGATTCCACTTTCATAGAGTATGTTCCCTAAAATACCACCAAATCCTCTTGAGAAGTTTTCTGTTAATTTCAACAGTTTATGGACGAGCCCAGAACTGTTCATTTACTCGTTCAATCACCCAACTGCAAAACGGTATTGAGTATTTTACGACCGTGACACACACATTCCCCACCGCGGCCGGGCGAGAAAAACAGGAGTCGGTCTAGGAAAAGGAGGCCTGTGGGAGTCAGTGTTGCGCTCTGCGGAGAGAAGCCGCAGGGCGAGTCCGGCTGGAGTTAGCCATTTCCTTTCTTCCCTCTATACTTCGGGCTGCGGGGCGCTGGGCGGGCAGGCACTGCGGCTGGTCCTCGCGTCCCTCAACCCTTTCTCCGTATCCGCCTCGAATAACCTGCTTGACAACCCCAGTTCTCTAGAGCCGAGCGCGGGAGGTATGTGCCCGGCGGGCCCCAGCGCCATGACGAGGTCAGTCCCAGGCACATCCAGACGCTCGCACCTAGCTGAGCCCCACATGCGTCGCCGGTTTCCGGGTGCAAATGGGAAGCTCGGGAAACCCCAGACCCCTCCCTTTTAGGAAGGGCGCAGACGGCGTCTTCGTTTCCAAGGAAACCGGCCCTGCCACAACGTCACTTCCGCTGACCTGTCTGGACTCCAGACTGTTGGGAGGAAAAGAGGAAAACTGAGCCGCAGCCACGACGGTGGACGCGAGCGTCTCCTGTCTGCGCATGCGCCCGCTCAGCGGCCTGCTTCTATTTATGTGGGGGATCCAACATGGCGGCTGCGGCGACCCTGGCGATGGCGGTGGAGCCCATCAGAACATAGTGGCGGGGAAGGGGGCACGGTCCGCACTCACGGTGGCGTCGGCAGAGACGACTGAGGGTGGTGGAGGGAAGAAAAGCGACGGAAAGCAAAAGGAAGGGCGGGCAGGCAAACAACTCGGCGTAGAACCGAGCGCCGGCTCGAGCGAAGGCAGAGGGCCAGAACAGTAGGGATGGCGGAGCCACGCAGAGTAGCGTTTATTAGCCTGTCACCGGTGAGGCGGCGCGAGGCCGACTACCCGGGGGCCGAACGCGAGCCCGAATACCCTCGCGAGCCCCCCCGGCTGGAGCCGCAGCCGTACCGCGAACCGGCCCGGGTGGAGCAGCCCGCCCCGCGGGAGGCTACCCCCCGGTCGGACGCACAGCCCCCGCCGCGGGAGAAACCGCTCCCCCAGCGCGAGGTCAGCCGCGCCGAGCCGCCCATGTCGCTGCAGCGGGAGCCCCCGCGGCCTGAGCCGCCGCCGCCGCCGCCGCCGCCGCTTTCTCAGCTGCACTTGCAGCCGCCCCCGCCGCGAGAGTCGGCTTCTCGGGCCGAGCCGCAGCAGAGGCCGCCGAGGGAGACAGTGCGCCTGGAGCTGGTGCTCAAGGATCCCACCGACGAGAGCTGCGTGGAGTTCAGTTACCCGGAGCTGCTGCTGTGCGGAGAACAACGGGTACAGAAGATTCTCCCTCACCCCCCAGCCCCTGGGAGCCTCAGGACGCGTCCGCCTTTCCCCGTGGTTCGCACCTTCCGACGCCGGCTTTGCGCGTCTCAGGTCGCCTGGGAGGGTGGGCTGGAGCGGGCAGGGGCCGAGCGGGTGGACGAGTGGTTGGTGCTGCTTTTCCCCTGCTCCCTAGGGTTGGCCAAGGCTCCCACCCGGCTTCACCGACCCCCCCCCCCGCCCCGCCTCGTGCTCCCGCTCCCGCTCCAAATGCCGCTCCGAGCCGGTTTTCCTCTGCACGTTTCGAGACCTCAGAATTTACTCCTTTCTGCTCCCCACACAAAATTTGGGGTCTCTGCAAGTTACGTGGTTGGGTTTTCCTTGTGGAGCTCCAGCAGTCGTTCCAGTAGAAAGGAAGAGAAAACCTTGGGGGACACGCCCCCCATCCGAAGCAGCGAGATAGTGTAACCCCTCCATATCATCTTCCTCTTCATCACTATTTGTTATGCTTGGCGCCGAGATGTGCTTGCGAGCGTGGGGGTATTTCTCTTAATTGAAGGGTATTTGAAAGTAATCTAAAATTTTCAGACTAAGGATTCCACTCTAGGAATGAAGAAGCGGATTAGTTACTTGGTTACTTATTTTCTTTCTCACCTTGGTATTGCTACACCTACTTAGCTTTGTTTTCTCTAGAGCTTGTTTTTACTGTAATTGAATGGGAAGGTGTCTCCTGTTTTATTTGGCGCCTACCGTCATACGCTCTTATTTTGAGTGTATATCAAAATAAATATCGTTTGGAGAACGATGAAAAGCAGCTTTGAATTTTTAGGAACTGTTGAAAATATATAGGTATGCCTTTGATGGAACTGGTGAACAACAGTAATAGGAGAGGTTTGTTGGTAATTGTAATTTTTATTGTAGGTTTTGGTGATCTTTAGAAGTAAACCAGAAGGGGAAATGATAGAGTAACAGTAATAGAACAGTTTCTTCTGTTGTTTAGAGATTATGCTCGTACGTTTTGCTTTAGCACAGGTCTAATGGACTCCAGAAGTCATTTGTTTTGTTTTCATTCTCAACTATCTTTATAGTTAAAACAATGATTCTTTGGTTTAAAAATATCATATTAAACAATGTCACTGGATTTTGTTTATTTTAAGGCAATTAATCTTTTGATCATTATTTACAAGTGCTGTTGTGTGGTCAAATCACTACTAAATGTTTGCAAGCAAAATGAATTGTTAGGGTAGAGATCATTTTGGCCATTTCCACAAACATTTTGTCCTTCAGACCTAAGTTAGTGCCCCTACTATTTATAAATGTGATGTTATTTTTTTTCTAAAAGCATTTTGAAAATACTAGATTGGAGCATTTTTCAAATTGTATTTGATCTAATCTAAGTGAGTTTGCAGTTTTACTCCCTAACCTACTTTATAAATTACGGATGAAAAGCATCATATTTGGGTAAAAGTACATTATGGTAGCTAACATTTACTGAATTATTCCTATGTGCATGCTAGACAGTTCTAAGTAAGGTATGGCTTATGAAATTTAGTTCAGCAGAGCTCCTTGAGGTAGGAACCATTATCCCCACTTTACAATTGAGGAGGCTAATGCACAAAGTGCTTGTACGTAATTTTATTAGTACTTCTTTCTATACCAGCACCAATTCTTAGTAAAACAAAATTTCTTAAAATTGTATAGTTTAAATTTAGAGGATCCTGCCAAAATGAACTAAAATGAGAGTTATAGTAGAAATACAGAGATTTCTGTTATCCTCTTGATGCTATGATATTCATGCCATGATAAATTAATAATAGATATGTACCTTTTAATTATGACAAAAAAGTTAATTTTGACACCCTTCCTTGCTAATCTGATATCAGAACTACTAGTTTTCTGTAATAGGAGAAAAATAAATCAGTTTAATTTTTCTGTTTATACTATCAACTTAGAGGTATATTGGTCAAATTTTCTTGTATATTCAGCCATATATCATTTGTTGTATTCTGAATTTAAAAAATCCATTGTTTATACAATGCACCTTTGTGACCAAGTTTTGCCAGATTTACCAATGATTACTCCCAATGAACGTATTTATTACATAAGGAATTATAGAAAACGTTTCTCTAAATGAAGTTGTCATATTTCCATGAAAGAAAATCCTAGTAGTAGAAACCAACAAAAGGCAAAATGAGACCAATAGAATTGATCTGCAGAGTGGCGATTCCCAAATTTGGTTTTTCTTCCCCTCAAGGAGAGTCTAGTTATTTTTAAGGATGTTATAATATTTTCAAAATAGTCTAAATTTTGAGTTGTTGTAATTGAGCATTTTATCATGTAGCAGTTTGAGTAGAAAGGGGAGGGAAAGAGATGGTATAAAATGAAAAGAAAAAAGATTCTAAATTTTGAAGTAGCCATCTATCACTGAGTAAGATTTTAGTTGATAGGTATAGTTATAAATCTGTCACATGTGGATACCACCTGTATTGGGTGCATTTAAATCATCCCCCTTCATAAATATGAAATGATTAACTGAGTGCAATCAGAATTTTTTGTACGCTCTTTTTTTTAATGAGGAAAAGCACAGTTAAATGAGCATATGTTGGCAAAATATGAAAAACAAAACCCCTTCTTGTCAGGTCGTAAGGACACAGGGTAGCTAAACCTTTAACCTTGTTATCTCTGTAGACTACTAAACCCTGAGTGAGGTGGTTCAGGATGATGACTGAGGAACTGCAATCATCTCTATCCTCAAAGATTAATTTGTTCACCATTTCTGACTAAAGAGAAATAGCACAGTTTAGAAATAAGTTCTGACAGTAATTGGTACGCAAGTAATTTTTGTTTAACTCATAGTAAACCAGAGAGTCACTTAACCAGAACATCCACTTGTGAATGTGGTTAATTGAGCATTTACTATAAAAAGAAGAATAAGTGATTATAGTGTCAATGTAGTTATACTGTTAGGGAATTCTGTACTATTCCATTGCTTGTCATACTGCATATTTTCGATAACTTGTGAAAGATATCCTGAAGATGGTGTTAATGAGTTAACATCAAAGGACAAAATTATTATAATGTTATTGCCTATCGGTAATTGGTAATTTTGATATTTACTGATTTGCAGATTATCTTTTCACGTGAAAAACATGAAGCTCATTTAGAGCCTTGATTGTGGGTAGGGGTTTATTTCTTAATATGAGAGAAAAGTGAGTCACTTTTCTTAACTCTATTTTTATAGACTGTCAAGAGTAAGAGATTTACTCTTGAGTCCTCTATAAAGTCTATACAGAATGTTATATAATGGCATTTAAGGTGATTCTTATTAAAAAAATACATGTCCATGTGTTTATATTTCACATATAAAATGAGGCAGACCAGTAATAAGACTTTGTATTTGGACTTCACAGTGACATGAAGCAACAGTTGATAATGTCAAGGCATGGTGGTTGCTCACTGTCCTTTAGTCTTAAGTTAAGGCTATCCCCTGAACATGCCTAGTATTTATTTCATTATCAGTCTCTTCCTGCTGGTTTATTTATTCCTTTCAGGTCATATATATTTATTCCACTGGTAACTCTGACTGGGATAAAGGATTCTGTAAATACATTACTTATTTCAATAGATTATTTAAAACATAGATTCTGAAATTAATTTTTTAAGCTTTAAGAGTATTCCTTTATTCTAATGCCTTAGGTCTGTGAATTGTTTGTATTTATTCTTTTCATATTTTTCTGTCATATTTTTAGACTAATTGTATCTCAGCCTTCATATCCAGGATGAAGTGTGTCATTTCCCAAGTGTGCAGATCTTTGTCCCTTCTGCATTTTTTTCTTCAGGTTCAGCGGAATCTGTATCCAGTCTTTCAGTTGTAATATACTGTATTTTTAATTACTTGAAGAATGCTACTTCAGTAAAAACATCTAACCTTCCTTTTTTAAAAGATTAACTTTCTAGTCAGTTGTCCATAATTAGATACAAGTAGCATTTTTATTCATATGCAGCTCCTTGTTTTCCCTTTTTTGTATTGAAAACCTCTATTTTTTTTTTTTTTAAAGATTTTATTTATTTATTTGAGACAGAGAGAATGAGAGAGAGAGAGCTCATGAGAGGGGGGAGGGTCAGAGGCAGAAGCAGGCTCCCTGCCGAGCAGGGAGCCCGACGCGGGACTCGATCCAGGGACTCCAGGATCATGACCTGAGCCGAAGGCAGTCGCTTAACCAACTGAGCCACCCAGGCGCCCTGAAAACCTCTATTTTTATGAAAGGTGTCTGCTAAAGTAGTAAACTTGAATAAAGGATGTGATTTATCTTTTTGTTTGTTTTGGTAAATAGATGGTAAATGTGGGATCCTAGCTGTGTGTGTGGTTTTTTAAAACCATGTATTATGATAAACTTTCATTCTCCCCTGCTGGAAGGAAGCCACGGTAATGTAATCTATTTGCAGCTTTCACTTTTCTAGCTTTAAGAGTAGTATGTACTCCCTGAATGAATATTCATGGACAAGAAGGAGGTGATGTAGATTGAGGTTTTGATGCTGGGCCTCAGCAGAAGGCTGTAGCAGCTACAGATACCCTTGTGATAGCTCAGGGCAGATGATTCAGGGTTGATACCAATTAATAACCTGGCAATCCTTTGAGAAGCATTTCCTGACCAAAGCAGTTATTTTTGGGGGGAAGATCTCAAACTAGAGTTATAAGTGGGATTTTCATTTTTACCTAATTTTCTTGGGGAATTTTTGGCCTTTTTATTTTGGACGGGGTGACCATAGATCATTTTGTAGGAGGAGACAATTTGATTTGTTGAGTTCTTAACCAACGAAAAACTTGAGAATGTGTAAGAATCCATTAAAACTGCAAGTATTTTTGCTACAAACCAACATTTCTTTCTAGTTATTTTTAATGCTTCTAACTTATTTGTTAATATTTGGAAAATTTGACTGTAATTATTAAATTTAAGGATACATTAAACTCCAGTTGAAGTAATATTAATACTTCTATTTCTTTTCCTCTTTACTTTGAATCAGAGGAAGCCCATTCACACAGAAGACCCATTTAATGATGAGCATCAAGAGAGGCAAGAAGTGGAAATGTTGGCTAAGAAGTTTGAAATGAAATATGTGAGTATAATATACTCTTCATTTAGGTAATTTTACCTTACTGGCTTTCTCCCCCACCCCTTCCTGGGGACTGGTTGGGAGGGCTTATAATATCCATTGCCCACCTTATTTTGTTCTCATAAATTGAATCCAGGTAAATGGTTAGAGATTCTGATAGGTTTGTGGTGGCTGTAACAGTAGCCATCATTTATTGTACTCCTTCTAGAGTCCAGGCAGGTTGCTTAACATATATTATCTCCCATCCTTCTAGTAAAACTACATAGTAAGTAATATTGACCACATTTTACAAATGAAGAAACTGAGGCTCTGAGCTCAAGGTCACACAGTGGCAAGAACCAGGCTGCATAGCCAGGTCTGTCTAGCCCTAATCCTTTGCCTTTTCCACTGCCATTGAGAAGGCTACTTTAATTCCTCTGGTGTAGTAGTTCTCAAGCCTTCCTGCCTCTTTCGAGTTTAAGAGAATGAATGTGTGTATTTCTAGCACACACATTTCTGGGATCAGAATCAATCAGCAGCAGCATGGAATTTCTTTGAAAGTATCTTGTTTACCTTAAACATTCATGTACATTTTACATCCTGTGCCATATGTAGATTGGTATTTGTTTTAATATAAAAGTGAATTCTAATTACCTGATTGTGCAGTTGCTTAACACTTTTCTCACATTTTCTAGTGTAATTGAGTTTGTAGGAAAGCTCCCTCCCTCCCCATCTTTATCCTATGGCTTTACTCCATGGCACTTTGCTGAAACATAACTCATGAAAAGCAAGACCCCTTCTGGTTCCTCTCTGAGCATTAGAAAGTATCTCACAGAGATAGGAGGTCAGCTTACATAGCCCTGTCATTCCTGTTATCCTCCAGATGCAACTGGGATCTTGGTTGACAGTGGTTGGCTCCTTGTGCTAATGAATCTGTTTGGGGTGGGGGAAATGTATGAGAATACTTTGGAATGTAGGTCAGGTTGTAGGCCATACTTTGCCACCTACAGATTGTCCTTTGGTGAAGTTATTTAACCTTTTTGGGCCCCAGTTTTCTTTTTTTGAAGATTTTTCAAGGCTCCTTCTGGCTTTATATTCTGTGACTATATAATACTTTTAGGGATGGACTGGTGGGTGTTTTGATGGAAAGAGTAGCAGAAGTTGTTACTTAAACTGTAGTGTTTAATTACAATATAATGTTCTCAAATTATAAATCATAACATACTATGGCTTTTTTTATTTTTTTATTTTTAAGTAATCTCTACATCCAGTGTGGGGTTTAAACTCATGACCCCAAGACCAAGAGTCACATGCTCTACTGACTGAGCCAGCCAGGTGCCCCTATGGCTTTTTTTTATACAAGTAATTCGTTGGTGAAATTTAATGTTTTAACCAGGCAATATATTCACATGGTTCAGAACTGAAAAATTATAGAGTGAAAAATCTTTCATTCTGTTGTTTACACACATAATCTCACTTCCTAGAGGCATGTAATGCTTTTGGGGGTCCTTCTAGAGATGTTTATGTATAACTCTGTATACACATGTATTAACCCCACCCCCACATCTCTTTTTACACATTGCAGAAGATGCCGTTCTGCTCTTTGCTTCTTTCCAGTTACTCTAACTTGGGAGATTTTTTCATATCAGTACAAAGAGAGCTTTCTTCTCTCTCTCTCCTTCTCTCTCTCTCTTTTTAGGGCTGCATGGTGTTCCATTGTGTGGACATACCACAATTTATTTAACCAGTCCCCAGATGATCTAAGTTGTTTCCAAAAATTTGCTTTTGTAAATAGTGCTACAGTAAATTACTTAGTAGCATGGCATTTCACACATTTGTGAGTTTATCTGTTGGACAGATTCCTAGAAGTGGAATTTTTAGGTCAAAAGATTTATGTGTTTGTTTAGTTTATTTAGTTTGGGTATATATTACCAAATTACCAGTTCCTTAGTTACCAGTTTCCATTCCCTCCAGCACTACATTGGAGTACTTATTTTTCCATAGGTTTTAAAACTAAGGATTAGAATTGTCCTTTGCAAATGGAAAAATTCCTAGCATATGATCCTATAAGTAATATGATTCAGTATGTGATGTACTGCCTCAGAGTTAGCATTAAATCATCTTGGGGAGCCCTTGGATCATACTTGGCATGGAAAAACCAATGTTCTGAAGAAGTTGGTTGATGTGTAAACTTGAGTTCCACCAAATAACTGGGATATCTCCAGGCACTGTCATTGTGCAGGGATAAAATGTTGCTCTTGTTATAATTCAAATTAATGGGCTGTAATTCTCTAGATTTTTCTTTTGGCTGCTCTCTTATTTCCATTCTAAGTAGAGATTTAAAATGTCCTACCTCTTGAAGCCTTTATTTGCCATGAGTATTATAGGTATTAAATATGTATATTATAACAAATTATTTGGACCCTTGTAAGAAAAACATCCAGCTAAAAGTGACCTGGAAGAAGACGCTTCATCCAGCTCTAGGCTCTGGGCTGTCACAAAAGATGACTCCTAAACAACTGAGGTTTTTTTGGTATTCAGTGGTAGCAAATTCAGATGTCTATATATGTCTATTTAGACTTATGCATATATTATATGTTTATTTGTATTTTAAGTAAATAAAGTTTTAAATATTGTATGTAAAATCTTGCAAAATGTTAACACACCAAGGTTACATTTCCCTTAAAATTTTTTTTTTGGCAGTGATAAAAAGAGGGCTTAATTCTTAGAGGCTTATAAAACATAAAACTAGCCACCTTTTCCTCTTACTTTTGTTTCCTTCATATTATAATTTAGATGTTCTTGTCATTATTTCTGAAAATCACTTAAGGTTACTTCTAGCTCTTTGTTTCTTAGAACAAGAGGTGCAGTTTTTTGTTAAGTTTTGTATGTAAAAAAAGTATTTGAGCATTTACATTGGACATACAAAGGGGCATGATAGTTATTCTCTCCTGGAGCTTTCAAAACAATTGGGAGGACAAGACATACGTATGACACACAAATGTAGTACCAAACAGTGTCTATGGAATTGAAAGACTCTGGGGATTTGAAAATGAGTAGAAGGGCCAGTTCCATCCTTGAAATTGGAAGGAATTTTGGAGACTTTGGTGCAGAGTCATTGAATGGATTCTTCCAGTCTCTTGTGGAACCACATTTCTCTGTAATCCCTGGAATAGCTTTTCTCGCCTTTGTGGGATATCCGGTGGATAAGAGGCAGCAACAATGTATTGTAGTGGAAGGAGCACAGGATTATGAGTTAACACAGCTGGATTCTGATCCTGTTTTTGCCATATTAACTAGCTGGGTGACCTTAGTAGAGGCCCTTGGCTTTTTTATGCTTTGCTATCTGTGAGGGGAAAACAAGATCTGCTTAGCCAACTTTATATTTATAGCACAGGTGTTTTGTCAACGTCAGAGGAAAAATAGATTTTTAATGTTGGAAATATTTAAAGTGCTATCTAAATAAGAAATACTGTTTATTTAAACATATCACTCTTGTAGAGAACTGCTCTGTCTTATTCTGTACATGTCATAAATTCTTTGTAACATAAACATGTATGGGCTTTTTTAATCTCTATTAACTGACTACCCCACAGATTTTGATCTTTTAGTTTAGTTCAGGCATTCTGTTCCAAACGGCCTTTATCTTTAGTCTTTCAGTCACTGTTTACAGGTTCTTCTTCGTTATTAGGGTCTTCTTAAAGACCACAATAAATTATTTGGAGTCCTTTAAGAAACTCATTGGGCCGGGTGCCTGAGTGGCTCAGTCGGTTGGGCGTCTGCCTTCGGCTCAGGTCATGATCCCGGGATCCCGGGATCGAGTCCCGCATCGGGCTCCTTGCTCCGCGGGAAGCCTGCTTCTCCCTCTCCCACTCCCCCTGCTTGTGTTCCCTCTCTGACTGTGTCTCTCTCTGTCAAAAAAAATAAATAAAATCTTTAAAAAAAAAAAAAAAAAAAAGAAACTCATTGGGCCAAAACTGAATGAGGAGAAGACACTTTGTCCAGTGTTCTCACAAAAGATCACTCTTAAACATATCACTGAAGATCTTTATTGACTATGCTTTACTGTCTAATAGATCCTTTAGTGTTCTGTAGTTCAGGAGTAGCAAAGTCAGATGTCCCCCAGATGCCCACTGAACCACCAGTGAAGCAGGCCAGGTGGACAGTAAGGTGGGGGATTATCTGAACTAGGGGACAGCTGCTACTCAGCGCCAGCCCTTGTCACTTTGCAGGGACCTGGGCTTAGGGTTGCCAGATCTTTACATTTCTCAAAAGAAGGCTGAAGTCTGGATTTTCCTCTTTCTTTTCTTACTTTTAAACATTGGCTTAAAACACCTGCTGGACGAAACAAAACATCTCTGGGCCACATCCAGCTCTCAAGCCCTAGTTGGAGACATTGGTATACTTGCTTCACTATTTTTTTTCCTAATGTATTTAACTCATCAGTCCATCTACACTTACATTCTGCCCCTTCTGTTCTGTGAGCAGCGTGGTTGGTACAAGTGGGAGGGCATGCCGTTTCCATCGTGGAGGAGAATGCGTTTGCGGGAAGTTTCAGAGAACTGAGCAAGTTAAACTGCATTGGGTGTTTCCAGATATGGGGACAAATAAGATGCCCTGAGGGGTGGCTGGGTCTATAAGTGATGTTAGTAACAAATTGAGTGGTTTGTTGGAAGGCTGGGAGGCAAGTTTCTGGGCTTCTTGTGGTGTTGAGTATGTGTAGCTGTTGCTCGTGCTGGAGAGGAGTTGTGTGTGACGTGGAACAGGCTGCCGCTTGTGGGAGAAGGGAGGAGAACCGTGGAGCTTAGGACGTGCCCTTTTTCTTGCAGCAGTTGCTTGGGGAAGAAGGATTGAGGCAGTCTTGGTAGTTGAAATGCAGTAATAGAAATTACAGGGAGTATAAAATTATTAAAAATAGCACCCTGTGTCGAACAGTTTGTTTTTTCCCCTCTATCCTGTCCTGTTTTTATTGCCTGTGTCTTGTCTCCTCTTATGTTACTCTTTAGGTAATGTGACGGTGCATG